TACAAATGCTGACCTAGCGAGCATTAAAGGAAGGCGGAGCTGGCGAGCATTAAATGTAGTTGTTTTGACCTTTGCTTTTAACAAAAATAAAAACTGTAGAATATGATTAAAATATGTTTAAAATTCAAAATATTATTGAGAAAACCATACCATTTAAAAAAAAATTAATAATTCCAGTTAATAACAAAGAACTGAAGATAACAATATTTTAGGGTCAATAACCCAAATGGTCACTGAACTTTATAAAAAGTTTTCACAGGACCACTGAACTCTGCAAAAGGTCTCCCAGAAGTGATCTCCTAGAAAACATTTTTCCAAGTTTAGCGATGAATGTGATGATTTTTAAAATTCAGTGATCTCGTGAAAATCTTTTACTAAGTATAGTGACCTAGTGAAAATATTTTGCAAAGTTCAATGATGACTTGATTGATTTTTAAAGTTCGGTGATCCCATAATATTTTTTTGCAAAGTTTAGTGACATTTGGATTGCTAACTCAGATATTTTATGACATAATATTGTTTTAATTTAAAAAGGTAATAACATTCTTTCAAATCAAAATAAAGTAATTTTATGTACAATGATTTGATGGTCAGTAAAATATTCGAAACAACTCTTGTTACATTATCAATTATCATGCAAAATAAAATTAAACACGGTCTTACTTTATAATTGTGTACAAGAATTTGTAGTTAAATTATTTTTATGGATATTTAACGTATGTATTAAATAGGGCTAAACATCCTGAATCATACCGATCGAGCCGGACCCAAACCAAGCTGAATTGAATCGAGTGATTCTTTTTAAGTTAAATACTAGAACGGATATTTGAATCAAAAATCGACGGATTTTGTTCGGTTCTCAATTCTAGATTAAGAATCGAAGAATCAATAAAGAATCAAATTTCCCTATTTTTTTAATTTATTTATTTTTAAAAAGTCAATTTTTTTAAAAAAAAAATTAAAATAAACTTTGCTAACTAGTTAATGTAACTCAAACCCCAAAACATGATATTCATATTTCTAACTTTTAGTCTAAGCCCAACTCAATCAAATTGACCTAAATTTTATTCAAATTTATTATTCTATCGTAATGTCATTTCTACCATTCTACAGAAATCGAATTGAAACTCAACAGCACCTCTTTTAATTATTATAAACTCGCTATCTTCGTCTTGCGATGATTTTAACAATAAATCTATGAAGAACTCACAAAGAGAGACATAAAGGCCACGTAAAATTGGATTATGTTATTTTGTAAGAGTTAAAATTGAACATGTTATTAGTTGAATTAATATAGCTTTGTAAATATTAAAAAAATTAATTATAGAATGGAACCTGAGAACCAAATAAAATTGAACTGAACCCCAACTTAATTGAATATAACCGAATCCGAACAATTCCATAATTAAATTTGGACTCGATGGTTCTAATTACTAAGTGCCCAAAGATTTCAGGACCGATTCGATTTTCGTTAGAACTTAACCGAACTAAAATATGTCCAACTCTAGTATTCAATCTAACCATTCACTTGTTATCCAATATCTTTCAGGGTCATATTCACTTATGAGATGTTGTC